TTGTACAAGTAATAGCATATAACYAGATAATACATGTGAATTAAGATGACAACCGATTGACACGGACTTGATGTCTAACCCTTTGTCATGAGAGATCGCAGTTACATTTGGAACAAAGCTAAATTTTAGTAAAAATAGGAATATATCAAAAACACAGAAAGGGAATAAAAAGTAGGAAAGGAAAAATACCGTACCACTGAAGAGCAACGAAACTATTAATTAAGTAATACAATTTTTTTACTCTAAACAGTTGATATCAACATTATGCAAAATTATCTCCACTTGCGGTGCTTGCCTGAAGCAACTCACTAACCTGATTATACATTTCAACGAATTTCAGTGTAGATGATTTTTATAATATTCTTAGTGCATATTTTGAGAAAGGCTAAAGATGGACAATAATTACACTTGCTAGCCATATAGATAATAMTTTAAATTTTGTCGGTCAAAATTCCAAATATTTGAAGTTTCAGGGCCATCAAACTACATTTTCATGCAACTTGGCGTAATATATGGTACTTAGCTGTTTAAAATTAATAACCTAGCAACAAACAATTATCAAATATTTTACAAAGCTACTTGTACTACCCCCAAMCCGCGCTCATAAACTATAAAACCTAAACTTTGTACTATAAATCTACAAATAACACGCCATAACTGCTTCCCCTCAACCTCCACACAATAATTGTCCTTGAAATGAACATATTTGTTATTATATTTCATGAGAAGAAGAACATTTTTCAGCAACAAATGCAATACAGCAGCAGCAGGTCTCTGCACCAACAACAAAGCATGAAAATGCGCATTTTTCTTTGCATACTTGCGAGAAGYCCTAAAGCTATCTTCGCACGCTTTCTTTTCACATTTCTATTTTACGTTTGCCTTTTTTTCCATTTAGGTATTCCTTTAATATGCACAATCTGAAATGCCTTAAAGAGAGGAATGTCTGAGATGAATAAATCACGGCGCAGACAATAACCTCAAGGATAATGCAAAGCAAGACGAGGAAGCAGGATGAGCATGCCACGAAACCCAAGCAGCAATGATGAGCAACAGAAACTTGTGAGACCCTTTTTGTGTGTTTTTATATGTGTGAGGTGGAGTTTTTAGCTGTGCAGTTAAAGTAGTTGTGGTTGCATGCAACAGGACAACATAAARGCAACGCCAAGTAACTGCATAGCTAGTTAAGGAAGACCGTCTTCGCTCTGCTGGCTGCTGTCCTCCGTCWTAGCATGTATTTCCACACTTGCAATGAYGAAGAGCGAGCTGACTTGCTTTTTATGTGTAGCTTGCAACCGCAGCGCCACAAGCTTGATACTTACCATCTCTGCAGCGTCGTAGTGGTGGC